TCTTGTTTAGACAAGTGAAATGAAAGCTGGCAGAAACAAAAGAAGAGTATACATTATTCAAGATTTGAAACAAAACCCAAGTGGAAATCTTGTTCAATTAAATGTAAAAAGAAAATATTCTCATCTATAATACAGCTGAAACTAGGACATGACTATTTCAAATCTTATATACAAAGATTTGATGATAGATTTGACTCAATAGAATGCTCATTCTGTAATACAAATGAGAATTCTGAGCATATTGTAATGCACTGTGCATTATACAATAGTCTCAGAGCCAGATTGAAAGAGAAGTATGATCTAAATCAATTAAATATGAGATTCTTATTCTCAACTGAGACAGGAATTAAATACTTAATAGACTTTCTATCAGAAACTCAAGCAGCTACAAGAAAATGGCTAAATTCAGAATTATCTGAGTATGAAGAGGAGGAAATAAATCAGATATAGTCTGTTAAAACAGCTATACACTCTCTTTTAATAATTTGTTTTGTTATAGTCTCTCTTTACTTTATCTTTTTCTTTATCTTTTTCTTTCAATTTCTTTCTATCTATTTATTTAATGTGTCTATCTTTGAGACTGTGTTCTTTTTCTCTTTTCTTTTGTCATGATATTGTCAAATGATTTCAAAGTATCAAAAGATGTTAAAACACTGCAATTTGTAAACAGTTTTTGTATTCTGAGCTGGAATTTTCTGATTTTGCATATCTGAAATTGATGAATGTATAATAGTTAACTTTACAGACATAGAAAAAACCCTGAGAACTAAAGTTCTCAGGTAGATGTCATAGTCTCTGACTGCATACATCTATAATTGAAGAATAATAATAATAATAATAATATTCTCTAGATAGATCTTAAGAATAGATCAGCAGAATCTCTTATAATTATTCTCTAGATAATTCAGCCAGTTCTTAACTTCAGTATAATAGAGATCTGTTATTGTATAGATAATAGCTTCTTCATCTTTTATATCACACAGCTGAGCTTATGAGTCAATTTCAAATACAAACTTGTAAAAGCTTTTATAAATTGTGATTCAATAAGTGATCTTAAGTGATTATAACTTAAGAAAGTTTCTTTTCAGTTTGCAGATATCTCTGAAGATTATGTCTAAAGACTCAGTTCAAGAGTGTTTACAGATAGTAAGTATTTCTTATAGAAAAATAGCTTAATTCTGTAAGAGATACTCAAGAATATTCTTTACTAAGATTGATTTATTCATGAGTTCAGAGAATTTCTCTGTCACAGATACAGAGAATGATATTCTGTGAGTAATTAATAAGTTCTCTAAGACTTCTTTTATAAGAGTTATCTATGATTCAGATGACTGCTTCTGAGTGTCTGCAGTAAAGTTCATAGAGATTGAAGTATACAAGTTTCTAGTTCTTTTAATTATAACAGACAGTTGCTGACTGACTGAGCTTGAAATGTAAGAATAAGTGCTCACAGACAATTATTCAGATGTTTGCAGCTTAATGTAATATATACTATTAATTACTAGAAGTATTCACAGTAGAAAGATAAAATATAGAGATTAAATGTATAATAGTATTTAAGCTGAGTTATGAATAGTATTCATAAACTTCAGTCTATATAGTTATGTGTAGCCAAGAGCCGCTAGCTCTATTAATTACACAAGAGATAGAAATAGAGGTAAAGAATCCGCGAGGAGCGGGATTTCTTACATTAACACTTTTTTATCATCTTATTAAATCACTTAATTCATTCAAATTCAATCTCATCATTTGTAAAGTCAGACTTGAATGTAATGATAATATAGTTATCAGATAAGTTGAAGTATGTATATCAATTCTCTAGATGAATCTTTGATTTTATTATAATTAATGAATTCAATACTGTGTTATCTGTATTAATATACTTTATTACTGTTATTAATCTGCAGAAGTATAATAACTGTATAATGAAATTCATATCTTTAAAGACAGTTATAACTCACTGTCTGTGTTCTTCTTTTTCTTGAAATTCAATCTCATCAAAGTTATAGATATCACAGTAAAAAAATTAATATTAATTAAAAACAGCTTTATATCAATTAAATCAGTTAATAATAAAGCTTATATTCTCATAAGACACTTATTTTAAATTCATGAGTTTTTACTTAACTCATTTATAATCTGACAGATGTTTGATAAATTGATATATTTATATCTTGCTTACTATGAGAGATGCAGTCTCTGAATCTGTATAATACTATCTTAATATATAATTCACAGCAGCTTTAATATACTCAATGATGAATGAACAAAAATTAATATTCAACTGATGAGTTCATATCTTAATTATCTCTAGACTGACTGTGTGACTGTGTCTGAGATCAGAACTAGATTTTTTAATAGTCTCATTATTAATTTAACTGATCTCATTACATGGTTTTAACATTAGATAGTAGTTTCATACTGTCTCAGTGAGACTTACTGTCTACTCTTATCACATTTTTCAAATAAGATCATGATTTTCACTTCTCAATTTAAATTATTTTTATTGCTTTAAATGACTTTAAATCTCATTTGAGTGTTATCAAAAAGTGTTACTTTTTAAAAAATTAAAAATAGTCTAAAAAAAATCTTAAAATGTCTAAAAATAGTAACTTTATGCCAAGAATGAGACTAAATGAGATCAAATGAGATCACTTTCTCATTTTTTTCAAGTCATGATTTCATTTTAAGATCTGATATATAGTCACTTTACATGTTTTTTTAATAGCCAGTTCCAGCGGGATTCACGCCAAGAAATGTATGAAATCAGATCAAATAAGATCAAATATGAAATTCATAATCTCAGTGACCAGTCTAATTATCTCTTTCTGACTGTCATTCAATGCTTAATTCAATGAAATTCTCATAGTTCTTGATTTCTTCTCATTGATTCTCTCATACAAGATGATATATGAGTAGACTGGCCGCCAGAATCATGAATTTCACATTTGATCTCATTTGGTCTGATCTCATACATTTCTTGGCGTGAATCCTGCTGGGACTGGCTATCAAAAAAACAGATAAAGTGACTATATATCAGATCTTAAAATGAAATCATGACTTGAAAAAAATGAGAAAGTGATCTCATTTGATCTCATTTAGTCTCATTCTTGACATAAAGTTACTATTTTTAGACATTTTAAGATTTTTTTTAGACTATTTTTAATTTTTTAAAAAGTAACACTTTTTGATAACACTCAAATGAGATTTAAAGTCATTTAAAGCAATAAAAAGAATTTAAATTGAGAAGTAGAAATCATGATCTCATTTGAAAAATGTGACAAGAGTAGACAGTAAGTCTCACTGAGACAGTATGAGACTACTATCTAATGTTAAAACTGTGTAATGGGATCAGTCGAATTGGTAATGAGACTATCAAAAAATCTGGTCCTGGTCCCAGACACGGTCACACGGTCAGTCTATATATGAGACTTTGAATTCTTGTGACAGAGATGTGATTTTTAATTTTGAATTACTTTTATACATGTCAACAGCTCTTTGCAACTGCTTCTCAGTGTAATTAGAAGATTTAGACATGATTATAATTAATGATGATTATTTGAAGATGAAGAATGAAGATATTGAAAATATTTTCTTTACAGTGTGGTTTTCTGTACACTGTGGCGCACTCACTACAGAGAGTGAGTAAGCATGGCACGGTTAGGTGACTATTAGACACCTAGGTATCTTGCTACATAACTTTTACTAATTGCCCTACTGTATTGAAAGTTTTTTCCCCACAAGAAGATGATGCCACCAGTCAATCAATCAGTTCTACAGCCTTCCCAACACCGATGGTACCTCGGATCGCGAATCGAGTGCGAACGAATCGAAACGCAGGCTCCGCCAGCAGGCGTCCTTGCAGCTTGGAGTGATGGAGACTGCTCATATATTTTGCGGAAAATATCAGCAGATATTGCACCACCTGAGTCTCAAGACCATGTTTCCAAGGATGTTCATCTGGTACATGAGGGTGGCAGCTCCTCAGCGGTGTGGGCTATTGGCAAAAGCGCCTTTTGCAAAGTCAAAATACTGGCATCCTAGCTTGGGGCTTGAGGGGGACACCATCGCATTTGTTAGGGAACACATACCTCAAATCCTGGTACCGGAAGTTATTTATTCCTGGATTGATGAAGATCGGACATTCTTGATTCTCAAGAGAGTTCAAGGTGTGACATTGAGAGATGCATGGTTGTTGTTCTCTTCCTTGCAGCGTGACTTGATCCTCAAGGAAATTGCAAGCATCTGTGACCTACTTGCTTTGAAGACTTCAGCAAAACTTCAGAGTGTATCTGAAAAGGCCTTGCCTGAAAGGTTCCTTGCAGTTGCAAAAGATGGCTTTGTGGGACCTCTCACATTGACTGAGAGTAGAAAATATTTTACTGTCTTAGACTCAAACCTATGTCCCAAAATCGGAAAGGATTTTTATCTATACCATGCAGATCTTGGTCCGGGAAATATTATGGTGTCCAAAGATGGATCTATCACAGGGATTCTTGATTGGGAGGCTGCTGGTTTCTACCCTCACTTCTGGATTGTAACAAAACCGTCGGTTGCGCCTGGTCTCGACTTTTCCCCTCACATCGCAGGAATCGAAGAATTCGAGTGGAGAAAACAGCTGAGGTTGGAGCTTGAGAATAGAGGATACCCTCAAGCTTCAGGCTGGTACATGGAGTGGAGGCGTGCTCGACCTAAAAAGTGAATATTCTCTACTGATCGATCTTTTGAGACATTCCCCCCCCTACGGGACCAGGAGTATACTTCTGAAGACATGGAATGAAGCCCGGCCGAGGACTTGAGCTATGTATGATAGAGTGACAGATACCTAAGTGAAATTGAATATAAGAATAACCAAGCTTCAGCAGTAGGCATTAAGAGTTTGATTATGCACGAGCCTACGATAGGTCCTAAATACACATGTGGCAAATAATGCACTTACGAGAGGTCCCCATGGTGGGTTGCACGAAGACAGAAATGATGATTCTTCCATGCTAACTGAAAAAATATTGGAGACCCAGGCTAATGACTGTAACCCAAACCATTTCCTGACTTATTTGGGAGGGATCTTGAAAAGCAAATGAGCCTATTGCGCGGGTTAGTTGTCGGCGCTGTTCAACAATAATATTTAAATAAAAGCGTAGATTTGTTCTTTGATTCCGACCTTGGGGAGCTCTGCTCCGCAATACTCGCATGTGTCCGCCCCCGACACATTTCCTTTCTTGCACTTTGGGCAATCCATCTTTGCGCACAGGTTTGTTGATTGGATTTATCTAGAAGCAAATTATTTAGTCTTTCCACTGGTAAAACTTTTTGGATTGCAAGAAAAGGGGTTTTATACAGATGTTGCTTTGACTTTTCCACTGGCGTTTTGCTTGTAGGTCACTGAGTTGGATTTTGGATTGAAAGATATGAGTGGTGTAAATTGCTGGTTATATCCTGATGCTTATATAGCCCTGGCTTTATGGATTCAGAAGGACGGAAAAATGGATGAGGTTGGACCAACTATCTGATCGTGTCTCCTATGGCTTACATACCCCCTCGAGTTGATTAATACCCAACCTCACAAATACTTTCAGCCTGAACTCGGCATCTAACCATACGAGACTGGATTGATGCGGCATGCTTTCGTTCAGCTGGGAAATGGTCAGGCTGGCTCAAGTAATTTGTGATTTACGTCAAATCATTGGCGGCCTTGCTTGGTTTGGAATGGTTTCAGCTGCCGCCTTCATGGTGAGTCATAGCAGCACGACAAGCTAGCCATTTCTCCAGTGCATGCATGAGGGCCCGGCGGGGAGCCTGGAAATGGTGCCAAACACCATCAATATCCGTTGCAAGGCAAGAATTTCGCCATGTCCAAGCAACACCTGTTGGAAATTCTGAGAATCGAGTCACGAGGCACGAGCATTGTGTCGACATCCTGACAGGGTCGTATGGCCAATCGACTTTGAATTTAACTAGAGCCTCCGACCAGAAAGTGCAAGTGTGATATTCAGCTCTTCTAATTTCATTCCCATTTTGAGAGATATTCAAGTATACAGCTGTCTATCGTCGCTTAGCCACCATGTGCAAGGGATTAAACGCTTGTAAGTAAGGCCTGAAATTGTTCGCCTCCTTGGCATGCCAACCAGCGCCATGTGCCAAGCAGGAATTTCCCTTGCTTTCAGCAAGTACTTTCCTAATACCGTGTAAGACATCCTCGATATTTCGGGAGATCAACTGGTCCACCTCCTGAAGAAAGGCGCCTCGATACTCATTTCTAAGTTTACAGACCCAGAACGATATCTTTGCGCTGGACTTTCTCATGTTGTAGGCCTTTCCTTGGATGGTTCGTATATGTTTTAAGTTTTGTGAGAATAAACAGAATCGCGCTGCTCAGCAGGTCTTCTCTCCTGAACCAGCTGCCGCCGGTTCTTGGCGGCTAAAGCTTAGGCTGCTGTTTGGGCCTCGATTCCTATTACGGATAGTCAGCATCTCGAGCTAAGACCCAAATCACTTCTCGCCGATCCATGTCTTATTCCTCTCAACATTGTTGACCTCATCCACTCGGAATCAAATGTCATTTATCGTCATTTCAGAGCATCACAGATGTGATTCCTCGCCGCAAAATTTATAAACGCAAGCATACATGTTTTGGGCGTTCACATAGACGACCGAAAGGCCTCGTGCTTTTAAACCCAGGGTCAAAATTTGACGGTCAAAGTCATGGGGTGAACAGTAATTCTGCCTTCCTGTCCTTATTCAAACGCATACTAACGAATCTTTCAAGGTCAAAGGAGGCAAAATCGGGCAATAGAGTCAAACCGCAGCCAGATCTGGAAAGTTCAGACCGAATCTGGCCATGCGAAGGGTCAAAGACGCTGGCAAACGGCACGGCAGATTATCTCACACAACGTGTCCTGATGACTAGCCGAGTTGACTTTGACAATTTTCAGTTAGTGCCATCGAATGCTGCGTATTTGGACCTCAGCCAAGAGTGGAGTTGCGCGTCGGCCAAGCAACTTTTACAACTACGTGCTAGGGTCACCCATCGGCAGAGCATTTTAATGCGGCTCAGCGGTGACATCAAGGGCTCCGAGAATACCATTAAATCATTCTTATCTAGCCTGAATGCCGGACCTACTTGCTCCGCTTTGTCCGAGGATCTTGCGGCTCTATATCTTTCACAGGCGATGAACCACATATACAACTTTAATTTTCATGAATCACATAGAGAAGTTAAGAAGTGGACGCCTAATGCATCAGGAGGGCAGGAGCGCCTGCTTTGGGACCTGATACTTTGTGTCGGCCGCATCATGCGAGGAGAAGGACGGTTCGAAGAGTCGAAGATTTGCTTTGACACTTGTCTTTCAACTCCGGGCCTGCGCGAATCTAAACGTCTCCTCGTTCGATCCGCTCTTGCCGATCTCTACTGTGAGCTGGACTATCTACAGATGGGGAAGCAGAACTTTTGTCTCTCTCAGGCAAATGCAATGGTGGAATTGGAAATTAAAAGATTAAGGCTATCGTCCGGTCAGCACCGCAAAGGATTTCGGCGCTTACTTCTTTCCCTAACGGAGGTTAGAATCAGGCAGGGACGGCACCGAGACGCTGACCTCTTGACCAGAGAGTTGATAATTATTTATGACAACATCAGGGAACCGGACATCGTGGACCGACTTGGCCATGTCCGGGCGCTCATTGCCTTTGCGCGTCTCGCTCCATCGCCCGAGGATGCATTGAAGAGGTGGAAAGATGTTCTACTCTGGAATAAATTCTACAATCCTTTAGAGGAAGAAGTTTTCACCTGCGGTGTGGTCTACCTATTTCTTTGCATTACATGGTACAAACTTGGTGATATTGACAAGAGCAAGCAATGCCTTCAAAACGCGGTGCAAGTGATTGAGCGGAAACAGCGTCAGTTTTTAATCCCGGGGATCGGGACCTATCTCTTTCATGATGTGTGTGATCAGGTATATTCTGAGATATGGCGGTTGGGAGATTCCACAGCAGCGTTGCACAGCCGACTCCAGCGATGTCTAGTCTACCCAACAGCCACCGCGCCAGTCGCAGTAAACAGGACCGGCTAACGACCTGGTACGTCTTCGCTCTCGGGTTTGACTGATGAACGAGATGTCGACCGACGGCGTTTGCCTGGCAGAATAAGAAGATATTCATGGCCATCCAGCAAGTCCCCCAGTGGCCACTGCCAGGTTTGCCGAACTATTTCCAACGCTTTTTGCGGTTATGTTGTCCTACGCCGGAGGGTCAATACAGCCATACGGCCGGGCGCAGCGTCACGCCATATCGGCCGGGAACGGGAAGGGGAAGGGGACCTACGGCTGGGACTTGTTTCTTTTCCCCTTCATAAACATCAGAGTCACCTCCATGACCAGAACGTGACGCCCTGGTTCCTCCGGATTGGGGATGACACGGAGCACCACGTCCCGGTACCGCAGAGCGTTGTTGGAGCCCCGAACGCAGCCGCTCTCGATGAGCGCTCCTGGACGAGAAGACGTGTAGGCGCCATCAGCATCAGCAGCGGCAGCTGCACTGTATACCGCTCGTGTGGGACCGCCGACGTGTCCAAGCACCAGTGGTAGTGGAGGACGGACAGCAGATCCTCAACGCTGAGGGTGGGCTTGCATTCGACCGAGAGATCTAGGCTGTATTCATCCGTCAACGGTCCCAGGATAAACTACATGTGTGGTGAGTGCCAGTTAGATACGGGAACAGGAGGGCCAGGATAGTGTGGTGGGACTCACCTCACTGACCTGCTCCCCAACAATCTCATCCATTTTCTTTCCAGCGACTCTCTTGTAGAGCAATCGGAGGAATTTCCACTCCACCCAGATAGTGCTCTGCTTTGTGACGTTGAACTGGCTCAATCGCCAGTTGGCATAATGTCTAAAGTTCTCACCTGCACATGTGGTGAGATAGACATTGCTGTCCACCCCGTCGAAATTGGTCTAATGTCTCTTGTGTTTGCCTTCTTCCATTCACCATCTCGATGCTCAAACACGGAAGTCTTTTTCTGAATGGCCTTTAGATACTCGGTTCGACAATCACTGAAGAACTCTCTCAAAATTTCTGGAGATCGGCCGAAGCAGGAGACGGACACCTCTTCTCGCTCGCCGGAGCTGCTGTCTTTCTGTTCACACCGGAGCCGGAGCAGATGGTTCCCGTACCAAAAGAAAAACGAACCATTATAAGGTGAAAAACGTAAAGGATTTTTGGCATGCGCATTTGAATGGTCATCGGCATATCCAACGCTGACAATAGAGGAGCGAGCCTTGCGCGCGAATGGCTGGTCCGATACCCAGGTTTTAAGCATATCATGTGCTTCGTCGTAGTAAAGGACGTTTGTTATCGAAGCTTTCGATTGTCAGGAAAGAGCATCACTACAAGAAGGGTCACTAACTGAAATGGATCTCCACAATGTCCGTCAGGTAACGGTACACATATCTAGCCAAGAGCAGGAGCGCCCCGCAGAGGCACAGCAGGTGGGCGCTGTTCAGGTTCCCAGCTAGGACCTGTCGTATGGATGCGGAGATGGCGGTAAATCCGGGGAGGAAGATGTCCACAATGGAGATTTGAGATGGGAAAGTGTGAATTGGCAAAGAACCAGCACCGTTGAATATGTTCATTCTGGAATGGGTGGGGAGGCTGTGGGTGGATTCCTAAACAGATAGTATGTATGACGTGCGATGGTTTTGGAGCGATTGATACACCATAAGTGATCTTCTTGTTTGATAGAGAAATGCTGAAACCAGAGGGTTTTGTTTACGATCTACTGATAGCCAGGGAGAACTCCATTACCTCAGGATGCGGAATCTCGCCTGTTATATGCTGTTGTATTGGACCACGCACATCCATCCACCTAGTCGAGTCAAAAAGTTCCGTGCAACTTGAGAAGCCGGGATACGCCGTTCGTAGCAGCCTAGACCGCGCGAGGCATATTGTGCTGTACAATGTAAATATCCACTTTTGACCTCGTGGTACTGCTTTCATGGGGAATTGTCCAAGCACACAATGGGATTTTGCGAAGCCCTGATGCCAGGGATTCATTTTTGATATGGATGGACATTACAAGTTTTCCCGCCTTGTTATGTGATATCGGTAATGCTCTTCTCTATGTTTTCATGCTCTTTTCTATATGGTGTATTTGCTCTTCCCCCTCACTCTTTTGTCTCGGCTTTGTTTTCCTTCGAATAACCTTAACCAGTATATTGTTTCTACCCATGGAGAGGGATATATATACCTCTCCTTTTTGCATGTTTATATTTACATACTATGTAACTTAGCAGATCGGCAGGATGTTACTTTAACTCTAAGATCACACTAAATAGATTTATCTCTATTGAGGTTTCCGAGTTCAAATTGGGCGATTGTGTCATCATATGCCTTAATAATAGGATCGTATAAAGACCTTTGTCATTGTAAGGAAAGAGTATGTCTCGTAGGGCCCCGCAAAGCGGTACAACACCACAGAATTTTGGAGGGAACTCCCTCAAGATGAATCCAAACCCCATGTATCTGCCAACCCCGGAGGGTGAGACGTAATGCTAATCCATGTACATGGGGACGCCACTGCTGCATGAGTTCTATTTTCAGACTTCGTCCTCGGATACTGTTGGCTGCCGCGCCGTGCTTCAATGCCTGGAGAGAGCATCCCGAGACGAGCACCGAGCACACCGTGACTGCCCCCCATTTATTGGTATACACAGAGGGCTCCCTTCGCCTCCAGATCCATCGTTCTTCTCACTCTGAAGCATAATCCGAGCGTCCCCAGCCCTGGTTAGCAAGTGGAGCAACATCTCGCATCAACGCAAGCTATACGTCAACGGAGAGGTAAAATCGTGACCTCTCCTTCGGCCGTTGGGTATATATATGGCCTTCCCCCCCCCCCCACCCCCACCTTTTCCTCCTCCCCCGACTCCATCTTTCTTTAAATTCCATTTCCATTCTCCATCCACCACCGCAAGAAACTCACCGAAGGGGCCTGTTTGCACGGCCCAAGGTCACCCAACATCAACGAGCGCGTTCAGAGCCATGGCTTCTACCGAAGCTGAACCCCGCAGCACCATTGTCATTAACAACAATACAGATGCAGAGACGGACGCACCTCGATCCCCGCCGCGAGAGCTACGGAGAAAGAGACGCCTTATGGACAATAGCCTCCAAGAATATGAGGTTCTGTTTGATGGCCCGGCGATCCTCAATTCCTCCGCATCCACAAAATCACAGCCGCTGAAACGCAAAATACCCAACTTGAATGCAGTTCTGGCAAGCTCCCATCAGAGCCGGACTTGCCCTTTGCTGATATTAGGATAGGCGACAGCAAAACAAAAATTCACACCGTATTTGAAGCAGGGTCCGCGAAGATCAGGGACCTACAAGAAGTGCAGCGCCTGAAGAAGTGGAACACCGAGCTAGAAATCAAGCACTGTGCAGAGCTGATTGGGAAAAACAAGGAGATCTGCAAGCTTGAGGCTGAGGTCAGCGAGCTGGAGCATCGGTGTCAATGTCCAATATGCTATACCATCCTTCAGAGTGGAAAACCCGCCTGTGCGGACACAGGTTCTGCCCAGTGTGTCTCTTTCCTGACCCAGAGACCTGTGGACCATGTTGTCGAGATTTCACTGGCTATATAAAGAGTTATTAGGTAGCAATGCTTTATCTACAGCACTAGATTCCAATCGTAGTTTTGTAACAGGGACCGGGCATTTGCCTGTTTTCATCAATCTGTGGATAGGGGAACAAATTAGAACTCTTTTAAATTTATCTCAGAATTGCTACCATACTTCATACATAGGCAGTCATGCTGAACAAAGAAGACATATGGGCTGAAAGAAACAAAAGTAGCTGACACACTGCTTTGTGAGTACATAAGAGATGGCTCACATCTGCCAGTTGTTAGAGGTGAGAAGAAGTTATATTGTCATCATCACCTGATTGTAGATTGAACAACTGAGAAATCAGGCTTTCTCATTTTTGAGGATGAGATCCGACTTCTGCCCGAAAAGAGAGTTTTCTTGCGCTAGGTAGTTTTCCTTAAATTAAGCCCCTCCATCAACCAGGGGTCAAATACCAGCTCTTCCGCAGTCGGCCTTTCCTCAGGCATCCAGCATAGAATCCTTTGAAGAAACTCCAGAAGTCCCTTTTTGTTATCTCCCTCGAGATCGTCTGCAAGCCTTTCAAGGGAGATGTCAGGGATGGGTGCAAAACCTCTCCATTGACCTTGAATGTTTTGTCAACGTTAGCAGAAAATACAAGGTCCGCCACTCCGTAGATTTGAACATGTATTCACATACCGTTCTTATCCCACCATATAGAACTCATCTCACTTCGTTCCAGGAACTCCCTAGGAGGAGGTCCCATGATAGCAACCATCTCTGCAAGGTGGAGTGTATCGTCCAGAAGTCGCTGATCATCCCTGGCTTGGAAGAGGGTACGCCCAGCTACGAGGTCCCAAAACTGACCAAATAATAATTGAAGACACGTCAACTAAGCCCGTCAAAATATAACAAAAGGTAATTGTCACTGACCACCATAGCAATGCTCCAAATATCAACTTTATTGTCCCAATTCATCTTGAGAATAACCTCTGGTGCCCTGTAGACATCTGGCATAATATCTTGTCCTCTGTGATCTTCATCACCGAACCTGGCCTCGCCAAAATCTGTTATAATAGGAAGGCACCGTGTGCGGGGAATCCGCCGGCTCTTGTAAATGACGCGATCGCCGAGGACCTTTCTCGGCGCGGGGTGTTTCAACTCAGCCTCTTCGAATACCGAGAACACATTAGGATCGTCAATCTCAAGGAGCATGTTTCTGGATTGGAGATCTGTATGCACAATGTTGGCTGAATGTAGGAAGTCAAGCCCCCCCAGGATTTGTCGTAACGGAGGTTTTAAAAGTTGTATAGCCAGAGTCCCGGTAGGCCGAAGGTCGAGCATCTGTTCCAAACTCAATCCCAATGGTTGTTGAACAAGGCACATGTGAGTGCCATCTGGGCCAATCACTTCGAATGAGTCGTATAGTTGTCGAAAGAGATTTTTGCCGGGATGGCCAGATTGAGATTGAACGGAATTGAGATGACTGTAGATTCTAATCTCATGGTTCGGCTTGGAGGAGGAAACACAAAGCTTCAGTACGACATGTCGAGGCTCACTAGTTAGCGAAAGTGAAGTTAGCTATTAGACTTATTCTGGACTGTAACAACATGATAAATAAATGTACGCACTGTAGATCACGACAGAGCCATACAGTCGATGTCACTCCGTATCCTAGTTTCCCAACAATTTGATACCTGTCGTTGAAAATTTCGCCTATTCGAGCCGGGTAATACTTTTCTGCCTTATACGTCGGAAGGGTTTCTTCCTCAATATTTTCAGAGGCATCAGTCAAGTCAAACCCGGAGCTTGGAAATGTGAGGGGAGACATTAGTTGGGAGAGCGTCATTCTCTGAGCTCCATTAGAATAGTGCGGTACGGCAGAACGTAAAGACAGACAAGGTCGGCTTCTGGAGAATGCGGACCGCACATAAAGATAAGCAAGAGACAATTTAGCAGTCATGTCAAAAACAAGATTCTAAATCACCTGCCAGTCGTACCTTTGAAGGACTGAAAGTTTTGTTGTTCTTCTTTCTGTTAGGGGTTCCTGATGAGACGAAGCTAGAAATAGTAACTTCTGCCAAGCCGTTTTAGCCAGAGCTCAGCACCATTTAGGCCCCGTTCTCCCCTACCACACCACAACCCCGGGCCAGAGTGCCATACAAATTGTAAGGTGAAGTGACCTAGTCATATGCACCAATCTTCTCGATTTTGGAAGATCCCCGACCTGTAGTTGTGGAGATATCCGAGGAGCGATCTCCGCGAAAACCCTGTCCATCTTTGATGTTCCAAAACACCAACGCCAAGTCTCACCCTCGTACCGCCCTTCCCAATCTGGCCCATCCCCGGCAGAAAAATGCAAAAAGATACCTCAGTGATAATATCAAGCATATAATCAACAGACTCTTCTGAAGTGCAATCTCCACAGTCTGTCACCGGTGTATCTAGACTTCAACACCAAGTCTCACCCTTGTACTATCCCTCTCAATCTGGCCCATCCTCAGCAGAATGATACAAAAAGATACCTTGATAACAGTATTCAATACATAATCAGTGAACAATGAGTCAACAGCATATCAACAACTATAAAATCAGTATATCTCAAGATCTGACTGAGTCTTTGATCCCTGCATAGTGAGATATATTAAATCTAGTTTTAATATCTCAATATTCAATAGATTCTGTAAGAAATTGAGAACAGTAACACTAGATTTCTATTGAATTTGAGAATTAACTCTATATTAATATAATCATTGACAAAGTCTTCTATTTTGAGATATAAATAATCAGTTTCTCTACATCTCACTGATAATATTTATATTATCATATAGAAACAGACTTATATTCTCTATAATATCAAGACTCTGAAGAGAGAAAGTCTTGATAGAGAGTATATAGTAGTATATATCTTAGCAGTTTCTATCTCATTCTTCTGCAGTAGTTAATATAAAAAGAAGAGCTTAGAAATAGTTTTTTACTTCTCTTAAAAAAGTAAGATGTTTTTCTCTGAATTTTATACAATATTCTTACAAAGAATTAAAAACAGAGTTGTTTTCTGTTATAATTTCATATTCTTTTAAGTAAGAATTACTTTTTCAGTAGCTGAATAACTTTTATTAATACTTAATTCTTTTTTATACTCTTTATTAACTGATTTGAGTTGCACACTTATTGTGTGAGAAGAATTGAATAATTTAGAATAAAATTAAATAGTTTTAATCAATTTCTCTGTAAAAAATTGATTTATTTTTTGTCAGTTTTTCTCTCAAAAACTGTTATATTATCTGATTTATTATCAATTGATATCATACTTTTTCTCACTGTATCTCAAGAAAGAGATTATAAAGATTTTATTAATTTATCTTAAAAATCAATTTTAGTTTATTAGATTCTCTTCAAAAATCTAATCTAGTTACTAAACTAGTGTGAAAAAAATCAGGTGTTTTATATACAAAAGTCTTTTATTCTTCTTTTGAAACAGTCTGATCAACTTTTCAATTGAAAACAGACTTAAAAATATCTCAATTGAAACAGTCTGATCAACTTTTCATTGAGTGAAAATAATGAGTTCAAAAATACACTCAGTTGATGTAGAAAAAGATGCTTTCTCAAATGCTATTTCTAAGATTGAAATTCTGAAGAGAAGAAAGAAAGAAGAAATAGAGAAATAATAAGTTCTTGAAATACAGAAACTTGAAAAAGTAAGCAAGATTCTTGAAAAACAGTGTCTGAGTAAGATGAATAAAGAAGTTCTGTTAATTCTTCATACTCAGACTAGACAACTACAGAAGATAATCAAGTTCAAACTTGAAATCTTAAACACAGTTTAAAAAACATTGAAAATTTCTAGTATAATTACTGACTCTTCATCTTACTCTTCTTCTCTCTTTTTTTCTACTTCTTCTTCTTCTTTAAATCAGAAGAAAATATATGCTCAAGCAGCTGAATCTGCTATCTCTAAATCTGCTATCTCAAAATCTGCTCAAAATTCTGAGAAAACTGAGAAGAATACTGCTCATGCCTCTATTTATAGAAAAGTGAAAAAGAAAATGTAAAAAGAGAAAAACTTTCAAATCTTCAGAAATAGAAGACTTATTCTCAAAGTCTTAAATCAGAATATTCTGTGAAGAAACAAGCTAAACTCAAATCTCATTTTCAGAAACAGAAATGAAATTAATCAGCAGTTCTTTTCTCAGTTAATGACTGATATTGAAGTTCAAAAATCAGTTATAGCTTCAATTAAGCTATCATTCTTTGAAAACTTCATCATTCTGACTACAATGTCTGAATTCAGTGCTGAATTCCTTATTCAGAATGAGAATCTCTGAAAGTCAGTAATAGAATCTTTGCTAAACACAATAATTCTATCTGAAAGAGATGAAAAGTGAGACAAATTCATTCTTCATGATTATTATTATTATTATTATTATTATTATTCTTCAATTATAGATGTATACAGTCAGAGACTATGACATCTACCTGAGAACTTTTAGTTCTCAGGGTTTTTCCTATATCTGTAAAGTTAACTATTATACATTCATCAATTTCAGATATGCAAAATCAGAAAATTTCAGCTCAGAAAACAAAAACTGTTTATAAATTACAGTGTTTTAACATCATCTCATACGTTGAAATCATTTGACAATATCATGACACACGAAAAGAGAACACAGTCTTAAAGATAGACACATTAAATAGATAGACAGAAAGAAATTGAAAGGAAAAGATAAAATAAAGAAAGACTGTAACAAAATAAATTATTAAAAGATAGTATATAGCTGTTTTAACAGACTATATCTGGTTGATTTCCTCCTCTTCATATTCAGATAATTCTGAATTTAGTCATTTTCTTATAGCTGCTTGAGTTTCTGATAGAAAGTCTATTAAGTATTTAATTCCTGTCTCAGTTGAGAATAAGAATCTCATATTTAATTGATTTAGATTATACTTCTCTTTCAATCTGGCTCTGAGACTATTGTATAATGCACAGTGCATTATAATATGCTCAGAATTCTTATTTGTATTGCAGAATGAGCATTCTATTGAGTCAAATCTATCATCAAATCTTTGTATATAAGATTTGAAATAGCCATGTCCTAGTTTCAGCTGTATTATAGATGAGAATATTTTCTTTTTACATTTAATTGAACAAGATTTTCACTTGGGTTTTATTTCAAATCTTGAATAATGTATTCTCTTCTTTTATTTCTATCAGCTTTCATTTCACTTGTCTAAATAAGATTCTTTTATTTTTCTCTTTATAAAAGATCAGAATATAACTTTTTGAATAGATCTGCTTAATTCTGCATTCTTTTTTACAGCTGAATCAGTCAATTCATTGTCATGAATATTCATATGAGTAGGAACTCAGTGTAAATGAATTATCAGCTTTAATATTCTTCTCTTTTGAATTTTCAAAATAGAGTTTAAGATCAGTTCAAGATTCATTTGATCATTATGAATCTGACTATTTCTAAGTCTTTTTAAAGCAGCTTGACTATCAGAGAATATTCATGCCTCTTTCAAATAATTTCCTCTTTTATGAGATTTTATTTCAATGAGTTTGAAAGCTTTCACTATTACAAATAGTTCAGCATTAAAGACTTCACATTCAGAGTCTAGATTTCAGAAATCTGAGATAAAATTAATATTATCTTCAGTATAAGCAATGCCTGTGTCTAATCTATTCAAGTTCTCATTTTTTGAGTCATCTGAATAAATCAGAATAGAGTCTTTTATATTGATTGTAGAAATTCTCTTTAAATACTGTTCATATTCTTTCTCTTTTGATAGTTCACTTATTTATAAGTCTATAAGAGATTCAAGCTTTTTTCTCCAGAGAGATAACTTCTCATGATTAACTTTTTCAACATTTAAAGAAGAAAATTGATTTTTAATCAGAGAGCATAGTCTGTACAGTTAAGAAGGCATTTTCTTTGAAGAATTATTTTCATTTCAATCAAGAAATCTATTTCAATTCAGTTCATTTCCAGAGTTAATTGATGAAAATAAAGAAGAGACTCTTTCTCTGATTATATAATTTAAGCTTATCTTTACAACTCTCAGAGTATAGTTCATACAGATCTTTTCAAATTTAATAGCAGAAGAAGGAATTGAAGCTTCAATTTTCATTGCTTTAATAGAAGATGATTTGAATACTCTCAGAATTCTTCTCAAGGCTCTGTTTTACAGACTTTGAAAGAGTTCAGTGAAATTCTCTTGATTATTTTATCAAACTTGAACTTCATAATCAGCTACTGATGTAATACAGGCTATATATAACTGTCTCATAGCCTGGAAGAATAGACCTCTCTCTGTATTTGATAGTCTGATTATGTTATTCAATAGTCTTTCTGCCTTGACAGTTCTTTGTTGAATATAATATTTAAAATTCAACTTGGAGTTTAATCATACTTCTAATTATTTAACATTTACACTGGATTTAATCTCTCTATTTAAAAGAGTTAGAGATAGTTCTTTCTCATTGAATCTAGAAAAGAAATGAATTAACTCAGTTTTATTCATATTAAATTGAATTTGATTGATATCTGCTCTAATAAAGATTTTCTTTGCAGCTTCTTCAATTACTTTCAAATTCTCTTTGATAGTTTTTAAGCTGTAGACTAGATCAATATTATTCACATAACTTGAAGATTACACTATTCTCATATTTCTATTTTTAAATAGATATGCAGTGTATATTACAAATAAAATGAGTGAGATTGAAGATCTCTGTGATACTTCTATTTTTATCTCAGTCTTATCTTATTTCATTCCATCAAAGAAGAGTTGTATAATTCTTTTAGATATAAAATAGTTAACTCATTTTATTAGACAAAGTGGCAGTTTTAATATCTTCAATGTCTGAATTAACTTTGACTTTGAAACATGATCAAATGCTTCTTTTATATCAATAAAAACTGCAGTTGAGACCAGACTCTCATGCTTTGCTATTTGAATATCATGAACAACTGAGAGAACAGTGTCAATTGCAGAACACTGTGTTCTATCTCTCATTTATTCACTGAATAAAAGAGAATCATCTATAGAGCTTATAAAAGATAGTTAAGTAGCTATTATCTTTTCTAAAACCTTTTCTAGACAGTTCAATAGAGATATTACTCTA